TATGTTCATCTTTCTGGTAAGTTTCGCTGAAACAATGTTGAAAAGTCATAATTGACAGCTGTGACTGTGGGAGGAAGTGGAGATTTGTCGTCCATCTTCATTTAAAGTCAGCAAATCCTGTAAAGTCTTGATTAGTTTTAAAGATGATTGTTTGTACCTTTCATAAATCCACTGTAATATGAACCATTTTTGTTGGAATAGTCTTTGTTGTCTGAAGGAGAATTAAACTGAATAAATAAAAGACATGGTTGCATAGATTTTCTTGCCTCAAAGTTTATTGAAGTAGGGAACAAACCAGGGCTTGGATGTGATTTGAGCACAAGGACGTTGCTGCCACATGATTACAATGATTCCTTGTGTCCCCTGCTCTGCGTTGGATTTGATTGGGCTCAACGCTGCTGTCAAACAAGGCCCAGCTGCTGCAGTGAGATGGACAGCCAGTTCCTATCACTGATAACTCAGTGAGAGCACTGCATGGAGACACAAAGGCACCCTTCAGTACTTTTTGAATTATTGATGCTCATGTAACAGGCTGACAGTGAACAGAGATGACCCTGGATGTCAGGAGATTCCACGAAATCCCTATCCCTCCCTCCCTCCCCCTGGTTTCTTCTTGGTTCTCCAGATCTGATAATCTGTTTTAACTACAAGGCAGTTAAAAAGCCATAAGTTGAGCCATGTAGTGCTTGAGATAAGTGATGACAAGTTTGTGAGGGACCCTGAGAGGGAAGTAGGTCATGGACAGTGACCCCAGGTATGTGTGTCTCTGCAGGGGGCCTGGGGCTTAGCAGGATTAGCGGCTCAGGTAGCACAAAGTGTTGCTCTGGTTCAGCAAGGATGCTCTCAACCTGCGTCTGTTTCCAACACAGTAGATTCATCAAAGAACCAAATAGTTTGGCGAAAAGTTCTGTTTTACTATCAATTTGGTGGGTGAGATAAATCCATGCAGGATTTACAGCAACTGACGCACGATCAAGAGAAACACTATGATTTGGATGTGATGCATCATCTAAGAAAAACACAAATGACAGCATTATGGGTGGAAGAGCTACAGCCACACGACAATTTAAATCAGAAAGAAACCCCACACATGCAGAAATGTTGCAGAAAAAGTGGCAGCAGTGGTAAATTATTAGAACGAGAGTTACATAGATTTGAGGGAGGAGCCACAAGGTGAGCAGGGGAGGAGGAGAAGGTTGCTCATGACTTTCAGGCAGATTAAGGGGACAAGCAGTGAACAATAACAGTTAGTGATCATGGCTCCACAGCTCTACATCACTGTGTACAAAGAGCAGTTCACACCTCCCAGCGGAGCGACCAGAGCACAGCTGCGTCCCACCTCTGCCCACCGCAGGAACAACCCCCAGCCTCGGCCGGTAAGATGCTCAGCCTACTGTGCCACACATGCAGTGTGGAGGTTTAAAGGATGAAGTCATTATTAAATAGAAAGAAAATAAGTCTTAGGAATCAATGAATTCATAGAAGTGGTAATCCTTAACTCTGTGTTATTTATAAATAATAAGACAGAAGTTGTCTTATTATTTATAAATAACATTTATAAATAAACTAATATCTAGATATTAGAACTAATATATCCTGGTGGTGCGTTAAAGGACTAATTGGATTTCTTATAATTGGCACTCCATTGTTCTTCATTTGTGACCATATACTTAAGTGCCTCAGAATAAATTGGCAGCTAGTTGTTTACATTTGCCTGTGCTTGGTGAAAGCTGTATCCTATCTATTATTCAGTACTTCCTTTCCTCCATGACTATTTATTTATCCAGACATGGAGTAAACAGAGCTCAGTAGAGTGTAGGGTCACATTAATGTGAGGAAACAAATAGCTAATAACTCCACAAGACATGCAAAACAAAAATAAAATACAAATCTTGCATTTTGCATGACACTCTCATAATTTCATATTTTATTTAGTGCATTATGTGATATTATGTCAATAAGATGCAGCGAGAAACAACAGATCGGATTAATCTTGGTGGCACTTTTTTACATTATTTGTAAATAAGGACTTTGCGCTGACAGAGAAATTTGTCATTTTGGAGTAATAGAGTTTATTTCATAAAAAACAAATGGTAAATTTGATTATTACAGGGATTAATTGAGATGTCTGCTAATAATCATAATCTGGGTAAATTCCCCAGTGAGAAACACATACAAAGAATTTGCTGTGGTGTTAGTGCAAGCATAAATATAAAAAAGAAAAACTGTATAAAAACATTATAAAAACACTAGAAACTAGAAAAGGATATGTGCAAATATTTACAATTTGACGTATATGCTGCACAGAGGTTATTTGCCACGGAGTGTTCAAATATTACAGACACGGGTGAGTACATTTATGGAGTGCGTATACCATGAGGTATGTGACACATACAGTGGAAGAACTGTTCAGTCTGCACAAGAGATCTATGACAGTGGTATCCAGTTTCTTCTCATCCTTATCTTCTACTTTTTCTTTTTTTATGTTTCAACCCATAAAATTCCTTCTTTTCTCTGCCTCTCTAGGACTTTTTGTTTCCCCGCGGCCTCCAGCCCAGCTACAAGTTCACCACCCTCACTCAAACACACCCCTCGCCTCCTGTGGACACTGGCCGTCCTCTCTTCCCTCCCGTCAGACATTTGTCATTTCACAGTCCAGTTACAACTCGCCCTGACAACAATCTAAAAACTGCAGAGGCGGGCAAACCACAACACATGCCTCCTGTCAGGCAGGCCGCAGAACAAGCTCTGCCCTCTGCTGACCGACTGTGGAAACTGCAGCTGGCCGAGCCTCCTGCTGGCACTAGCACTTCTCTCCACACAGCTTTGAAGAATCCACAAAGGTAAAGAGATTAATCAGCAAACAACACAAAAGAAGGACTGACTCTGAACGCTGCCTGTTCCGTTTGTATGAGAAGGAATGGGTTCAAGTGTATTATTGACAAGCGAGTGCAGCTGTAACAGCAGCCATATTCCCAATGGTTTCAGTTATTTTTTACATGCAGATGATACTGGTCAAAGACATATTTTCACTTCTTAAGGTTTCTTAAGCATTTTCCCCTAAAAAATATGAAATACCAAAAAAAGTACAATCACCAGAAACTTCATTTGAAGGATGAACAAAATGTATTGCCATGGACAACAAGAGATGAGTGTGATGTGACAAAAATTAGATTCTCTTTGGCGCTTAGACCCCTTGTGATGTGATCAGGGTTGAAAGGAGGTGTGGCTACCTCCTGTGTGGTTTAGTCACTAGTTGTGGTTGATTGGGTCTTGAGAATTTTAAGGATCTGAATGAGATGAGTGGACTTAGCTGAGCTCGACCAGGACGCTGGATAAGTATGACTTTATCAGCCATTGGGATAAGATTGGAGATGTTGATGAGTATTATTAAATGAGAACTGGGTGATTCTAAAAGTAATTATCCAACATTGTTCCCTGACAGGCAACATGCAGGAGCTCTGCTTCGGCCAAGACCCCAAACCAGCCATCCCTCTGCAGCTCAACGCCACTTTGCACGTCCTCAGTATCACAGGTCACACTCTAACAGCTCTCTGGATTATAGGTGCATATTCACCTTAATGTAATTACATGAAGTGTAATTTACTGGACATGAATAAGCCTCTCTTCTGTCATTTAAATGATAACCACTGAGGTTTAATTCGTGCCGCTCTGATTTTCAGCAACAGCGGGTGCTACAGCTGCTTCCACGTGGTGAAGCCCTATCAAGCCGGACACTACATCATACACCCAGAGTTTGTGTCTGAATGGCTTTCTTAGGACGATTAGACAACAGAAGAGGGAGTGGGGGCCCTGGGCTGGCCCTGGAGGGGGCGTCCAGAGGTTTCCAACAGCAGAAAGATGGATCATTAACTTCACTATTGTTTAATTCTTTGCTAATTAACCCAGTGAGACAAGGTGTAAGAATGAATAATGTAACTCTAGGCTGCACTCTCACTGCTATTATCTCCCTGTGTGCAATGTGAAAGTACTAAATCAGCACATGGCATAAAGAGGCTTGTGGTGGTCGCAGTGATCGAGCTGTGTGGCCCTAATGTGCATCTGTGTATAACATTAAAATTTTATTCCACTGTTAGTGAGATTACTTTCTCTATGTGCATTCTTCACTGCATGTTTGGAGGGTTAAACTAGAAAGAGACCTGCAAACAAAGAAACTTTACTCTGGGGTATACAAGCAGCAGCGGATGAAGTACTCCAACATTTTACCTGAAAAAATACATATAAATAGACAAAAATGGAAGTTACATTTTCCCATTAACTTTTCTGCTTGAATAAATGTAAATTAGGAGGCGGGGTCTGAATTGGCTGCCCGCTCTGATAGCATCAGTGGTCCCTCTCTTTATTGATCACTTTTTAAAATATAAAAACAATGTAAACATGTACACAGTGCTACATCTAGGTTTAAATATATTATTTAGATTCAACATTGACATGATCTTTAATACATTTTTACAGAAAGAGAAAGTCAATGTGACAGAGTTCACACATATAACTGTAAGTCTGATAAAAACGTGAGAGTAAAAATTACACACAACTTTAAAAAAAACCTGTTGGAACTCAATATGGTGAAAAGTTGTTATTTTCAGCATGTGCCACTTTACAATCTGTGGCTATGCCCTGTATTAAAGAAGGGCTTGGCCATAAAACAATGTAAATAAGCCTCGCAATATAGTTTTCATCCATAGCAATATAACAAAAGAAACATAGTAGAGAATATAATTGATATACTTCAGATTTGTAGTATGTTTTGCTGTTTAAAAAACAGTTTAAAACCACAACTCAGGGGTACAAAAGAAATAATAACGTGATAATTATCAATATCAACTAACTTGTGTTTTTTCTTGACATCATTTGTTGCTGAATCATTGTTGCATCTGTGCAGAATGAGAAATTAAAAGATTGTGTGTGGGTGTGAGCCAGACAGTGTAACTCCTCTGGACTATATTTCCCATGGTGCAGCGCGAGCAGATGTCATGAACATGCCTTGGTTCCTCTCGGTTTTTTTCTGGGAACTAACAAGTTGAGAGGATCCTCTGCTGCTGCTGCTGCTCGGTAGGAAAAACACCTTTTCTCAATAGACTGCAGGAGGAAAGCACAGGAAGCTGCAGACCTGTGTCAATGTCATGTTGTATTACATGGATTACGAGGTATTTTGCCTCTCTTAACTTTTCCTTGCGCCTCCCACCAGGCGCACAACAACGGCTTTCTGTACATTAGACCGCAGGGAGCTGCCTGTGTGGAGACATCGTGCGTAAAGCAGGACGAGACTCGTCCCTGTTCAACGATCGCTTTAGAAACGTGTGTTTGTTTGCATTTTTTTATTTTTAGTTAACACATAAACTATGCAAAGTATCAGGTTCCCCTCTGAGGGTCCACGTCTGAAGTGGAACCATCCAAAGTGAAGATCGTCACTGTTGCGTTCAAAGCTCAGTAACTTACATTTCTTCAAATTTGATTTTTCCAAAGTCATGATCATTATTTTGCAACTTGTGATCCCCCTCCCATACACGCACGCACAGTGACACGTGCACATGAGCTAGTGAGCCCTCCTCACACGCCTGCTCTGCAGCTTTATCAGCCCTGCTGTTTGTTTTTTCCCTCTGTGTCAGACAAGATAGGGAATCGGCTGAAAAAGCAACTATGAGAGCTGCCTGATCACACCACAAACAAAGAAGTGTTTGGTGTGGAAAATAAAATCTGCCTCCTCATCCTCTTTCAATGAGGTAAACAAAACACGTCAGCAAAAAATGATAGGAAATATATAGGATTTTTGCATTAACATGTTTTTATTGATCAAATCTGTGGAAACCAGATAAAAGATGAAATTATTAGTAGATTAGTTGAATATATAAACAGCAACTCTTTGATAGCTTTTTATTGTCTTAAGTTATTGTATCACTTTTGGATTTATGTGTATTTTGTAAAAGCAGTAAATCCTTGCTGGAGCTTCCTTTTTTGTTCCGTCTCTGTAGTCCTCCCTCAAACTGAATTGGTTTTGGGACCCTTGAGAAATATGTGTCTGACATTTCACAGAATATATGATTAATCAAGAAAATAATCATCAAATCATTTCAGAAACCCTTTGATTGACACATGAGACAAGCCTCAAAAATGATATATAGTCACTTATAATTGTAATTAAAATGTCTTTTAAAAGCGTAACATGTCCAGTATTAGGTATAGGCAGGGTTCCTGCTATGCTTATTCTTTGCAGAAGAAGCAGCAACGCCTCATTCATCCAGAAACATATGAATTCAGCAGGTTTTTATACAGATCAGTTCTATGTGTGAGTCATGCAAAAGAGCAGAGGAGCAGAGTCACTCGTTGACCAGCGGAGCCACTAGATACTGTAAAGGCTATAATTAGAGTTTTTCACCAGACCAGCCTTAGTGCATTCATGTGGAGAGGGTCAGCATATATAATAATCAATATTGAGTTCCATTAACCAAAACATGAATAAAATAAGCAGAGGAACAATTTAAGACACCGTTTTTATAGAGCAGACCTGATATTCAGTAAATCCTCTCCTGGTCAGTTTCTTTGCTAGCAGCTATCAGTGGATCTCCAAGGAACCAACAGTTCTCTGTTAATTAATGATGGGCTTATGTTATCCCTTCTGTTGTTGGGGGAAATCTATACAAAGGGTGGTTGAACACAGAATTAGTCAATTAGATTGCTAATTAATAGCAAGCATTTTTTATTATCGACCCCCGCCTCCAGAGTAGAGCACGAGGGTCAATTTCAGTTAGGACGAGGACAGAAGTCCCCTCGGTCGGCTGTGCTCTCTGATTTAATCTATTCTGATTAGCTAAAGCAACAATAAGAAACATCAACAAGTTAATTACCCGTTAGAATTTCTCCTGTGTCATTATCTATCCTGTTGCCTTCTTATCTTAACCCCTACTGTTTCAAACTGTGTGTTTTGCTTGAGTGATTCAGGTAACAGTTTTGGTTATACCAGCATAGAGCTCAGAGTTTAGTATGCTTTCCTCTCCTTGTCCTCATTGGCAGAACTTTAAAGCCAAAATCCCCTTTTCTGCTTCCTCACTTCCTTACATACAAATGAGTTTTCTTTCAATAGAACTCATAAGTTAGAATAACTGCCGGGGACGCCTACTTTATCTTCTTATGGACGACTGGCAGTAGATTTGTTTTGTTAACTCTCAAACACATCTTCAAAGTTTACATTCTGACAGTTTAATACCTCTAAGTGCTGTGAAATCACTCGCTGTGCAGCAATGCAGGGCATGTAAGACAATGCTAGAAATGTCGTGGAGGCTTTGAACTGACAGAACAGGACATCTGAACAACTCAAGATCGACTGAGAAACAGGTTGATATATTGAGTGTGTGTGGATCTAGCTGGGGCTGTTGTCTGATAGTTAAGTCGATATATTCTGTCTATTCACATCAGCTAAAAAGTATCAGATGAATGTACTGCACAAAGGCTGCAGCAACAGGCAGCATTTTTCTAGCAACCTTTTCATTTTCCCACATTTGTTTTCCATAGAATGCATGAAAATCTCAACAATTAATTTTCTAAATCTTTTCTCTCTCTGTGGACAGCCAGGAGAACAAACATAACAGCGGGGCCTGAGTGCAACAAAAGAGGCTCCCTGGAAAACATTTACATGATCTGTGGAAAATTAACTCTCGGATTTGCCCGTTGAGCAGCACAAGTCATGTACCAAGTGGTGCCAGGAGGAGCCGGGGGCACAATTACAGATGTTATCCCCAAGCAGAAACACAGCAAGGACACTCGACCCTTAGTCGGAGCTGGCGTAATCGGCCTGGTGCTGGTAATTGCTGCAGTGACTGCCTGGTGTTATTACATCGCCTCTCTACGCAAAGCTGAGCTGCTAAAGACTCAGCTGCTGGATCTGAATAAAGATGGATACATTATCCGCAACCAGGGAGGCTCCATTGTTTTCAGAATGGATTTCAGGTTGGTTTATTTGAATGTTGTTTCACACTTGATGTGTGTGTATAGCTACATATTTCAGAAAATCTATGCACATTTTATTGTAGAAATACTTATTTTAGACATGTCAACAAGAGGCACTATGAGAATTTGATTATTTTTAAACCTTGGCAGGTCAGGGACCTTGGATTTGGATTCCTGCTCTAAAGAAGGGGAGATGCTGAGCTGTGGACGCACCACTGATAGAAAACTTAATTTCTTTATTGAGACAGTACGACCTAAGGACACAGTACAGTGCTACCGTGTGCGTTGGGAGGAACTGGTTCCTGACATTCCTGTTGAGCATGCCATGACATACAAGTTTGCACATTGGTATGGTGGTGCTGTGTCAGCAATTCAGCACTGGCCCATTTCTATTTCTGGCCAACAAGCTCCCAAACCCTTTGTTACTAGTGACATCTACTCAAACCGCAATGAATTTGGTGGTATTTTAGAGAGTTATTGGCTTTCATCCAATGCTACAGCCATCAAGATCAATAATTCTGTGCCCTTCCACCTGGGATGGAATGACACAGAGAAGACCATGTACTTCCAGGCCCGATACAATGACAGTCCGTTCAAGCCAAACCCAGGGGAGGCTCCATGTGCTGAACTTAGCTACAGAGTGTGTGTGGGCTTGGATGTGACATCCATGCACAAGTACATGGTCCGCAGGTACTTCAACAAGCCAAACAAAGTGCCAGCCAAAGTCATGTTTCGCCATCCAATTTGGTCGACTTGGGCATTACACAAGACTAAGATAGACCAAGAGAAACTCTTGAAATATGCTGCCAACATTCGCAAGCATAACTTCAATTGTAGCCACCTAGAACTAGACGACCGCTACTCGAGCCGCTACGGGGAATTTGAGTTTGACACAACAAAGTTCCCCAATGCTTCAGCCATGTTTCAAAAGCTGAAATCAGATGGATTTCTGTTGTCACTCTGGATCCACCCTTTTGTGAACTATGACTCAGAAAACTTCCACACTTGTGTAGAGAGGGGCCTGTTTGTCAGGGAGCCAACAGGACGTCTACCAGCTTTGGTGCGCTGGTGGAATGGCATTGGCGGCATTTTGGATTTCACGAATCCAGAGGCCCGTGATTGGTTTTCCTCACAGCTACGCTCACTGCGCTCCAGGTATGGGGTGTCATCTTTTAAATTTGATGCAGGGGAGACCAACTACTTACCATGGAAATTTAGCACAAGAACTCCCATTCGAGACCCAAGTTTCTTCACGAGACGTTACACGGAAATGGCTATTCCCTATAATGATAGAGCTGAGCTGCGTAGTGGTTACCAGTCCCAGAACATTTCCTGCTTCTTCAGACCAATTGATCGTGACTCTGTGTGGGGCTATGAGTTGGGTCTCAAGTCTCTTATCCCCACAGTGCTCACCATTAGCATTCTTGGCTATCAGTTCATTCTACCGGACATGATTGGAGGCAATGCCTATCTGAACCGCACAGAAGGGAATCAAGCATTGCCTGATCGAGAACTCTATATCCGCTGGCTGGAGCTGTCGGCCTTCATGCCCTCCATGCAGTTTTCTGTTCCACCATGGGAGTATGACAATGAGGTGGTTGAAATTGCACGGAAATACACAGCTCTACATGAAAGTATTGTGGCCCCACGGGTCCTGGAGCTGGCTGGTGAGGTGCTGGACACTGGAGACCCAATCATACGGCCCCTGTGGTGGATTGCCACAGGTGATGAGACAGCCTATAAAATCGACTCCCAGTTCCTGATTGGGGATGACCTCATGGTAGCCCCCGTTTTAGAGCCTGGAAAGCAAGAGCGTGACATCTACCTCCCTGCTGGCCGTTGGAGAAGCTACAAGGGGGAGAGATTTGATATCAAGGAGCCACTGCACCTCACAGACTATCCAGTAGACCTGGATGAAATTGCTTACTTTGTTTGGGTGTAGCAAAAAGGGAATGCAAAGCTAAACACACTTGATATTATCCATGCCACAATTTCCATGTGAGACAAGTTTCGAAAAGTTAGCTTTGATACTTGAGACATTTGATGCTAGATTGTTTTTTGTGGTTAAAGCTTTCACGAAAGAAATAAGAAATCCGATATTAACAGCACATGAAAACATTTCTATTTTTAATTGTTAGGGCTATTTCATGTGAAGTAATGAATGCAACAGCTTCTTATGCATTTTTTGTGGTTTATATGAAATAAGTGTCCTTCAAAGTGAGAAACTTTTTATATATATAGTGATATAGTGTTAATGATTAATTGTGTGTGGTATGTGGTCATAGTTACAATTAAAGCAATATCTGTTTTAAGTTTGCTAACATTAGCCATTATAAGCTACTGGTCAAATTAGACCATACATGGCTCTAATAGTAAAATCTGAGCATGTACTGCAGTAATTGTGTGTATAATGCTTCTTAATTCAGCTTTTCATTTGTACAAGAAAGGACCTTGTTTAATCTTTCTAAAGTTAAAAATTCTTGCTTTGAAGATCTTTTATATCGTGTATATCAAAACATCAGGGAATATGCTAACAGGGATTTAATTAAGGCACAATTGCAATGGTAGACAACAAAGTTGCTTTTGAATGTCACAGTACTTAGTAGTTAACAAGTCACTTCATAACTTACGGTGTTCCCAAACACTCATCTAAAATTGTCTGTTGACTATGCACTTGCTTGTGTCCTCAGCAACACACTCACTAATGTTTGAAATAAAGAGAGACACACATACTTTTTAGTAAATATAGGCCAAAAAATTTGTATGATGCAAGGTTGATATAAGATTTCATTGTTGTCATAAGGCAGTTAGACTTCATTAAACCCGTATCTATGAAGATTCCCAGTTTGTCTGAGATATCCCACTTTGCCTTTGACACTAATACATTTGTACTCTTCTGAAGGGAAACATTTTTACTTTACAACTTTTTAGGATGTTGGGTTTTATGTTTTACTTCTCAGTGTGAATGCTTGAAAGTTAATCACAACAAATTGCATGTGCTTTGTGTGTAACACAGTAACGTCACTTAGCCCAGAAGAAGATGACTTTAATTAGGCACTAAATATTTTATGCTCTTCCTCAGGTTCAACAGTTTTCTCAGGCTGGAGTGTTTTTAATGTTGAGAGTAAACAAGCAGACATGCAGGATACTGATACTAGTAATGTCTAATACATTGACATGTCTACAACTTACAACATAATGAGCATCACTTTTCTCGAACGTAAAACCTAAATAATAGTGGTTTGTTTCCTTTATATCCAGACTTTTTTAAAGTGTGGAAGTCCATATAAGTAATGAATTTAGCCTCATTTAATTAATCACGTTAAATGGTACGGTGTGTTTTGTCACTTTGTGTTTTGTTGATGTGAATATTTTGTCACTGCAGTGACTCAAGTGCCATGTGTTAATTATAATTGCCACATAAAAATGTGATTTTTGTTATGCTATGCATTTATTATTGTTTTATTGTTGCATATAATTCTTAATTTCTTTAAATATTCAACATGAAAAGAACAACTACATTGGTATCTTGGCATCTAGTGATCAAACTGATGCTGATATTCTCATTAAATTCTGAGTATGAGAGCAAGTCTAATATCAGTTCTAATACTTAACATCATTCACATCAATTTCTTCTTTTAGAGGATTTAAAATCATGTGACTAAAGGGAAATATTGTTGCGCAATGTGTCCATTTGTTACTTTCTGTAGTTGTTTGGAGCTTTTTGATTTGTTGATATTATTCCTGAGGACTTTTCAAGCTGCAAAGAAAAAAATATTGTATGTTTGTGAATTAAGGAAAAGGAAACGTCCACAGTCCCATGGTGCAATTTTCACCTTTGGCAATATTTGCTTGTATGTGGTTTTCAGACCCATGTTAACTTTGTACATGTGACTTGTGATTTACACATGTTGACCTTGGTGGGTTTTGTTTGTGCCTTTTGCTATAGTGTCATCATAACAGCACCGCCTATTTATAGCAGTTCTCACTCAGCATCTGGGCCAAGCCAATCTCTGAGGCTATATCTGTCTCAGACTGTTGCTTTATGACGAGAGGCTCTTTTGGACTGAATGTTTCTTTGCTGGTGGCCCCTGTGACCCAGCGTGTCCTGTTTGCGTCAGGTTGTTGTGGCTGAAGGAACATTTGCATGTGACTAAGGGCTAGCATTCATTTCAGAGACAGTGCATATTTTATGTCCTATGTGATACAAATGTATTAAAAAGATTTTTGCATCGAATGTTTGTCCAATTTTACTAATTTTAAGACAGTGGTTCTTAAGTGGGGGTCCGTGGCACACTACCAAGAGGTCTGTGACAAGTTTCCAGATATACTGTATCTATCAAACATTGATATATGGGTATTATATGTTGACAAAATGGTGAAAATATTTCGTTACTTCACTAATATCCTTTCTCTTGTTGTACTTTTTACACCACAAAGCCAAAGTGTTAAAAAAATATGTTATGTGTAAGTATTCCAAGGGACGTGCATGAGGTGGTCATTGGATTTTTTCTATCTTGTTGAGGGTCATTGGCTGAAAGTAAAATTGAGAACAGAAAGTACATTTGCCACATATTTGGTGTCATGACCACCATTACCAGATGACTGTTGGTGATCAATATGTGTTCAACTTTTTCATTGTACACGGACCAACTAATGAAAAAGAAGAAAAATTCTGGGCATGTAATTCAGGTCAGTAAACTGATCGTGCAATCAGTTAGCCAATCGCAACCTGTAACCTCTTATGAGTCTGCAATACATGAAAACTAATGTGCCCATCAATGCCATATTGAAAGAGGCACCCTCCAGGGGCTTCTCTAACTTTGTGACGCCTGGCTCATCATGGGGCAATAATGACAAGCTGATGAAACAATTGTGCAGGTGATTTGGAGGCTGTGTCTGGATCAATAAATCATCTGCTGGTTCATGACGTGAGACTAGAGAGCGACTGATGTAAAAGGTGTGTGGCCAGACACCAAGAAAAAGAAAGGCAAACTTACTACAGCAGCTGATAATCTGCAATGATATTTATCAAAATTACAGCATTAAATGTGATTGCTCTCTCTCGGTTCAAACAGCCTGGTTGCACCGTTTCTCACAGCTTCAGTCGATCTTTCATATGTTTGGGAAATTTATTCCATTTCGCAGCAGCGGGATGTGCTTCAGAACTACTTCACTTCATTGGCCAATGCCTCATCTTTCTTCAGAATTGATCTGGACTGGCAGCCTGTGCGGGGAGGACATGCATTTATTGATTAGCTGTCTCTGTGCTGCCGGGATCAATAGTATTTGCAGGTTTGCTTTCTGCAATCATATTGTTTGGTTTTGCCTATCTTTTCATAGACTGGACAAATAATTTATGTAGGCGCTTCAGGGGAAGTGGGAGCTTTCTAGGAAGAGAATTGTCAAGACAACATTATTAAGATAAAGTGTCTTATATTGAAATAACAGTGGCTTAATTTATTGTTTCAATGCTTTAGTGTTATTTTTTTATATTATTTTATTTAATGTAAAGAAAAAGAAAATAGATATTTTCTTATTGTTAAAAGCAGTTAGAGTGAAAATAATTGAATTTTGGTGTGTTTGAAGTAAAGGTTAGATAATCTTAAAAAGGAAATAACCCAAAGGGGCATCAGTCATCAGCCGACATTAAACATTCCACAGATATTGACAAAGAAATAATGAGACATACCAAATCTAGTGTTTTAGCCGTACGGTGCTGCAGACAGCCAGTAGGGTGCAGTGTAGCTTCATTGATGGATTTCTCCTCTGACATGTCAGTGGACCATGGTCCAGATGTTACACACACACACACACACACACACTCACACTCACACTTCTCACACACGCACACGCACACCCGAAGCAGGACAAAAACTGGCAGAGGCCCTCCCCCCCTTCCTTCCCCACCTGTGAGCCCACCTGTGTGTCCATCTGCAGAGAGGAGACGCCAGTTGTTCTGGTTAGGAGCCAGTGTGTCTCAAGTACCTTCTCATATCCTCCTTCCACAACCTGTCTGCCGTCTGTCCTTCCCACTCAGGCACACACAGTATATTATACAGAGGGAGAGGTGGTGCAATGAAAACCAACATAACATTGCTGAATCTAAACAAAAATACAAATTATAGATGGATGTATCCAGTGCAGTGTCCTTCTTAATTTTCCAATGAGGCTTATATAGCCAGAGTTTTGTATTGATCAAAAAGAAACAGATAGCTGGGTTAATAGCTTGATAACTGCCACAAATAGGCTTAATGGAGAAAGTTTAATGGAAATGTGCATAAGCATGATCACTGGTTTACAGAAATAATCACAGATAAACATAAAAATACATCATTGATGAGTCGTTAGAATCCTGACATCGCCAACAGGAGACAAACAATGATGAATAAGCTTCTCAGCCTTTTGGAGCTAAATCTGGAATGAACATTTATTGTAAGATGACCTCAGGGGAAATAAAACCCTCTGGTAGTCTCTCATGTGAAGTGAGAATCTTTGTCCTTAACCCAAGATTTTTGCTCCGTAACTAGAATGACCTCGCATCTGGTGCTGCCGTGGCTCGTCTGACAGGAATATGTCTGTCCTCGCTAGGTAACAAATGAACCCAACACCCCAGAGACTGGTCTCACATCTGTTTATCTTTTTCACCTGTCTGCTCGCTGCACTGCATCAGGCTGACACTCCTCTGCAGCCTTTGTGGATTTCAGAGTGTGCCTCTGGCATTACAGGACAGAGCCGCTGTTGGCTGGTAGCAGCATTTGTTAACTTTGAAACTGGGCATGATAGTGTAGTACAGTGTGTTCACTTATATATTTGCTCTCATAGCAAGTATTTTAAACTTGAAAAAGTGATTTCTTTATCTTATTTTTCTTAATTCAAATAATAGAAATTGTTGTTTGATTAAATGGTAAGTGGCAAAATGTTCAAGACATTTTTTAATAATGCATTTATTCTGAAATATTCTCCAGGCAAAATGTGAAGATTGTCTAAATAATCTTTAGATGATTTGTCAAATAAAACAATCTGATGACACCTTGAGTTTTAGGAATCTGTGTTCAGGACCATTTTATGGGAAGAAAATAATAATAAGACAATCAAGGTAAAAATAAAAGTAAAATCTGTAAAAATAAGCAGATAATTAGAGTTTAATTTGGATCGGTGAGTTTATGCAGAACAAGATTTAACAAAGCGATTGAAAATGGCACAAGATGCTTAGAAATAAATAGAAAAATTAAGGACTGAGGTGAGGAAAACAGGCAGGGCTCTTCCTCTGTGGCTTGGTGGGGCTACGGGGTTGAACGAAATGTCAGGCACCAAGGAGCCGATGCATAATTGAAACATTGCGTCGCTGCTACGGCCGTGCACCGGCTTGTTTGATTGATACCATTTTAGAACACTCCTGTCCCCCAGTGCTCATGGGGTTTACCTGGGAAGAAATCAGGGGAGGGGGAAAGGTGCTTAGGTGGCTCATCTGGGTTTTAGAGGAAAATTGGTGCCATCCATCAAACACTGCATTTAACAAACGCAAAGGCAGGTCCAGCCAACAAAGGATTCGTATATAAGGCAGCGAACCGGGAAACATGCAAGGTGCAGGGACTGCTGAGGGTCTATCAATCAGCCAGTCAGCTCCTTTATTTAACAAGCGAGGGCCACGGACCCTGAGGGCCACACTCCATATTCTGGCTGGTTGGGCTTGCAGTCTTCCCCTGTAAAAGGAAGAAAAAAGGGGAAGAAAAGGACGAGGGAAGGAAGGAAAGAGGGGGCAAGAAGGGATTGGGGTTGGGGAGTGATGGAGGTGCAGGAGGGTTTGGCCCGTGTCCCCTGGCGTGCCGGTGCGCTTCATCTTCTCAGTGCAAGGGCCTGGAACTGCTGCTTGATGGGATTTTCAGCCCTGTGGCCTCTGCTGTCCCAGCATCCATCTGGAGGGCTGCCGTGTGCACAGCGGAGCGCCAGCCACTCAGCGACACAGCCATAAAGAACAACCCGTAGGCCAGCCAATGCCACTGATCTGAGGCTCGCAGCTCTGTTCAGTGGACAGGCCAACACTCAGTGGCACACATTCCTGTCAGGGACATAGGCTGATCCCTAAGCTACTGTGTGCTCAGTGGAACTGAAGACACGCTCTGTGAGGCAGCCCACATCCAACCACTGACTTCTTCAAAGCTTCCAAAATTGGAATGGAACAAGGACCTCACTATTCAGCATCCTTAATGGTGTGGAGAGGACTATCTCCCCGTCCCTCCCTGTTCTGTCCATGTGCCACTGCAGTAGAATATATACGCACTTATCCTTGTCTCGCTAGTGTGACTTTTTAATTTTAGAGGATGTGTTCAGTATCTGACTGAGGAAAACAGCAGAAGTTGTAACAGCACCTTGTAGACATGCTGCGGTCGCCCAGATTCCTGATTTGAATAAGCCCCTTGGATGGCCGGCCATAATAAAACCTTGCCTCAAAACAATGTTTCTCTTGCATGTTCAATAAGACCCTGAGTCAATTTCTACAGCAAAGTTCAATTTAATTCCACAACACACATCATCCAGAACAATAATATCAGCAATATATAATTGAAAATCAAGACCAAATATGCAAAGACAATCATTACTGCCTCTCATTATCGGATCCAATTTATTTTTGCCCTGGGGGACAGAGTAGCAAATAATGGATTGGTGATGTGGAGGGCTGAGATACTCAGCTGTTGGCTTTGAACAAGCACAAGATCCAGCTTCATGATGCAGCTGATACGACCGTGGAAGGTTTGGATTTAAAATCTTTTTGTTTCTCCTCTGGGCTAGGTGGCGTCATTAGCATTTTCTTTTTTCCCCTCTCTCCTCACAACTGTATATTCAGCAAGTGTAGCGTGGTGGGTAAGGTGGGCAGACGGCAGACTGTATAAATAAACAGAGTCTGTCTGAGGGCAGCGCTGTGGCCCCCACCTGCCCACCATCAATCAATATTACAGCGGCCACTGGCAGCCCAATCGCCCTTTTATAGGCCTGTGAAATGATCAAACATCTGCTCACAACCATGCTTCATATATAGATGGATCATATGTATAATATCGAATTCTGCATATCAACCAGCACAACAGGATGTAACAATGACAGCACAGTACCTTTATCCAGAGGTGGGTACAGTGGGGGAGGTGTAAGTATGCACTGAGAAACTCTTGGAGGGGCTGCAAATGAGAATGTTGATGTCAGCGTGAGAGCTTCCAGACTTTCTGCAGACTTTCTCTG